TTATATTGTAAAACCACTATATCCTGTAATTACTACTGGAATGAAATAATGCAGATTTTCTTATCCTATACTCATCAAATTTTTATTACCTGCTATAGTACATGCTGGAATTGCTACTCATGAAGGAATATAATCTAGTATATTATAATGGAGAAGTGGAAAATAGTTGAAATTTGGTAATTAGAACAATTTGCTGGAATTCAATAATTTAATTTTTAGTTTCCTGTATAATTTGCTGGAGTGTTATATTGTAAAACCACTATATCCTGTAATTACTACTGGATTAGAATAATGCGGATTTTTTTATTCTATATTCATCCAATTTTTATTACCTCCTATAGTACATGCTGGAATCGCTACTCATGAAGGAATATAATACAGAATATAATAATGAAGAAGTGGAAAATAGTGGAAACTTGGTATCCAGAACAATTTGCTGGAATTAAATAATTTAATATTTAGTGTCCTGTATAATTTACTGGAGTTTTATATTGTACAACCACTATATCCTGTAATTGTTACTGAAAATGAATATTGCTCATTTTTTTATCCCACAGAGAACTAAGGTTTAGCTACAGCTGTTCACTATCACCAAGAAGACAAGCTTGAACAATTCCTAACTTATAGATATTAAGATTCTTGTGTTTAACTAATTANTACCAACAACAAAATTCTCATAATTCCATGATGTTATGTTTCTCAAATAAACAAATAAAACTAAAATAAAAAAAGTAAAAAAAATCAAATAATAAAATAAAAGTTCAAACTTGAAACCTAGCAATATATACACCTACAACTACACCGTTAGTTCCCCGGCAACGGCGCCAAAATTTGATCACGCCCAACTATGCCTTATAAAAAGGACAATGCGGTCGCTACAAATATAATCCGGTTTACAAGTCCGGAGTCGAATCCCACAGAGAACTGAGGTTTAGCTACAGCTGTTCACTATCACCAAGAAGACAAGCTTGAACAATTCCTAACTTATAGATATTAAGATTCTTGTGTTTAACTAATTAACTAACAAATTAAAATAGTAAATTAACAACTAACGATACTGAGGGTTAGAGAAAGGATTAAGGAGGTCTAGAGTTATGATTTCCCCTATTGTCGGAATCCTTCCCGCTATGTCTTCTATAATTTCGCCTAAGTATTCTCTACAGATCATGAGCACTCTTATTGCCGTAAATCTCTCCCGAGTAATTACGACAATTTACTAGACGCACTCTCCCGAGCTATGCTAGCTGGCTTTTAATACAGCTCACTTCAGATCGCACCCAAGGCTTCGTTATCCCTAATCCCACCTTTAAACCCTCGGTTATTGATCCCTCATATACTTTGGGAGTGGTGTTAGTTCAACAATTACCTAAATATGCACTCTCTCCCGAGTTATGCATACTAAATAGGCACAGCTAATTGAGAGCTCTTCAACCAACCAGAATATAAACGTAGTTGAACAAATAGAGAAAAGTTATGGCTCAATTATATAAAAACATAACAAGAATTTATCCTACAAAAGGTTCTATCAAAACTCTAGATAACAAATTAGCTATTCATAATAGTATGTAAAACTACAATACTAAAAGTCATAACCAACAATGAAAAATAGGAAGAGGAAGGAAAAACTCGTAGAAGAATTCTCCACCTTGCTCCCAATGTGTTCTTGCCTCCAAGGGTGTTGTCTAACCCTAAAGTAGTGTCTCTCCGCCTCCTTAGGTCTAATTTTTGTCCAAAATATTTCCTCCTCTTGTTCTTGGCCGGCCTCCTTTGTTTAATATAGGGTTTAGGACTTAAAATCCCATGTTTTGCACTTTAGTCCCTGAAATTTTTGCTTCCTGCCGCTGTCCCACCGCGGTCGCGGTCAAACCGCGGCCAAACATACTCTCTGATTCTTCAGTTGTCCGCGAGTACACTCTGCCGCGGTTCTGCCGCGGTCGCGGCAAAACCGCGGGTTTTTACCCTGTTCCGTTTGGAATTTGGAAAAACGTAAAACATGAAAGTTGTAGTCCTTTGAGTTATCTTTCCAACCATATATTGTGGAGCCCAAATGGAGTTCTGAGCAAAAAGTTATGTCTATTTTACTCGACAGCGCGCAATATGCCTCCTCAAGTCTTCGTTCGTACTTAATTATCAAATTTGACCCCCCCAACACGATCCCGGCTTAATTCCTTGAGCTTTTACTCAGACTTCAAAGCTTCAAATCACTTAAATTCATTCCATAACATCTATATAGCTCGGAATCACACCTACAAGGCATAAAACACACAATTAGTGCAAAACACTAGCGATTAAAGCGCAAACTCAATTAAAGTGCAGTAAATTCGAGTGTAATAAGCGACTAAAATATGCAATTATAGCCTATCATCACCACTATATCCTGTAATTACTACTGGAATGGAATAATGCAGATTTTTTTATCCTATATTCATCCAATTTTTATTACCTCCTATAGTACATGCTGGAATCGCTACTCATGAAGGAATATAATACACAATATAATAATGAAGAAGTGGAAAATAGTGGAAACTTGGTATCCAGAACAATTTGCTGGAATTAAATAATTTAATATTTAGTGTCCTGTATAATTTACTGGAGTTTTATATTGTACAACCACTATATCCTGTAATTGTTACTGTAAATGAATATTGCTCATTTTTTATCCTATATTCATCCAATTTTTATTACCTCGTATATTATATTCTGGAATCGCTACTCATGAAGGAATATAATCCAGTATATTATAGTGGAGAAGTGAAAAATACTGGAAATTTTGTAATTAGAACAATTTACTGAAATTAAATAATTTAATATTTCGTTTCCTGTATATTATATTGGAGTTTTATATTGTAAAACCACTATATCCTGTAATTACTACTGGAATGAAATAATGCAGATTTTTTTATCCTATTCTCATCCAATTTTTATTACCTGCTATAGTACATGCTCGAATCGCTACTCATGAAGGAATATAATCTAGTATATTATAATGGTGAAGTGGAAAATAGTTGAAATTTGGTAATTAGAACAATTTGCTGGAATTAAATAATTTAATTTTTAGTTTCCTGTATAATTTGGTGGAGTGTTATATTGTAAAATCACTATATCCTGTAATTACTACTGGAATAGAATAATGTAGATTTTTTTATCCTATATTCATCCAATTTTTGTTTCCTGTATGTTACACTGGAGTAATATATTGTTAAAGCAGTAAACCCCGTATTTAATACTAGATATGAAAAATCACTAAAAAAGAAATGACTAATAATAAAGAACTCAACTAGTATAATATACTGGAGATAAAGCTTATACAAGGCACATGTTCCGTGAAATTTACTGGAATCAAACAAAATTTACTACAGGATAACCACTAACATCAAGTATAATATACTGGACAAAATGAAAGTAAGTGGAATTACATAATTTAATATTTTGTTTCCTTTATAATACACTGGAGTTATATGTCGTAAAACCACTATGTTTTTACGACATAGTGGTTTTTTTGTAAGCAAATCAAGAAGCAAAAAAAAAAATACACAGTATTAATATTTTGAAAAACAAGAATATTGAATATATATTATTCGGGATTACATCAGCCAATGCAAGTTTATTGTATATATTCAATCATTTTTATTCCTATATTTTCTTGCATAAGGATGAACTACAGCAGAATTTGTGCAATTTGTTCTGGTATGCCCATATTTTTTGCAACGACTACATCTTGGTTCCTTCTTGAATTCTGTACCGGAAACATATCGATTCTTCTGTCTTCTTCCTAGCAGTACTTTGGCATCTGGAGGCTTAGTGATTTCTGATTTAATAGTGTCTGGTATAACCCATGTTGTTGCATCACCTACAGAATTTACTTGCCCTTCATACGTTTTCAACCAAAAGTCCCTTGAAAAATAGGCTGAGCAAAAGGCCGATTTCTTTTGATGTATACTCTCAATTGCAACAATTGCATGTTCACATGGCATCTCATCTAGCTGAAATTCAGAACAATCACATGTTCTTTTGTCTAGATCAACAATAAATTCCATACCACCTTCTTTGACATTGAATTTGAGTCTATCAATGGGCAATACTCTAAATGTAAAAGCTGGTTGAATTTTTGCTTCCAATGTTGCTTCTGCCCAATTTGATATATCACGGAATATTCCTTCTGCAAGTATCCTTCTTTCATAGAACCAGCTTTGCAATTTTTCTTGTATGAAATCCATCATTGTTAAAATTGGCAATTCTCTTGAACGTCTTAAAACATTATTCATTGACTCAACAATATTTGTTGTTAACATATCATATCTTCTTCTGGGACAATGTGAACGAGCCCACCTTCCTGGCGGTTCCTCCATCAAATAATTGAAAGTTTTCTTATCAACAGCAGTTATTTGGGACATGAAGTCATCAAATTCTGATTGAAGGTATACTCTTGCTGCACTTTTAAAGAGATTTATCACAGTGTTTCTCACTCTTCTTTGCTTCAGATTCTTTTCTAAATGATAGATGCAAATTCCATGGTAGCACTCAGGGAAAACCTTTGCAATTCCATTTGCAATAGCCTTGTGTCGATCTGACAAGAACATTAAATCATTACGAATCCCAATTGTTTTTCTTAATTCCCTGAAATACCATTCATATGATTCATTATTCTCTTTATCCACTACTCCAAAAGCTATAGGAAAAATCTGGTTATATGCATCTTTGGTAACACCCACTAATAGAACACCTCTATATTTATTTTTTAGAAATGTTCCATCAACAGCAATTAGTGGTCTACAATACTTCCACCCAGAAATTGATGCCCCATACATAAAAGACATGTAAACAAACCTGTAAAAAGAAAAGTAAATAAAATTCAGTTAACTTACACAGTATAATATACTGGAGATAAAGCTCATGCCACACGTCCTGTAAAATTTACGGGCATCAAAAAAAAATTAACTATTTTATAATATTCTTCCAGTATAACATACTGGAGTTCCATTAACATCCAGTATAATATACTAGATAAAATAAACTAAAAATACAAAATTTTAGGTTGAACAGAACTCACCCAGTATATTATACAGGACAGAAAGCTTATAAAATACAGATATCCTGTAAAATATACTGGATGACAACCACTAACATCCTGTATAATATACTGTACAAAATCAAATACAATAGATTGAAGAGAAGTCACCCAGTATAATTTACAGGAAAGAAAGCTTTTACAATACACACGTCCTGTAAAATATACGGGAAGACAAACACTAACTTCCTGTTTAATATACTGCAGAAAATGAAATAAAATTGAAATACATAACTTAATATTTTGTTTCCTGTATATTAAACTGGAGTTATATACTGTTAAACCACTATGTCCCGTATTTAATAATGGACATAAAAAATCACTCAAAAAAAGTAATAAATAAAAAGAACTCATCCAGTATAATTTACAGGAAAGAAAGCTTATACAATACACACATCCTGTAAAATATACTGGACGCAACCACTAACATCCTGTATAATATACTAGACAAAATAAAATACAATAGATTGAACAGAACTCACCCAGTATAATTTACAGGAAAGAAAGCTTATCATAAATAAGAAATTTACCTGTTTTCTTCATCTCTCACAATATTTGTATATGATCCTGGATTTTTTTGTTCCATCATATACAAATATGATGGCAGCTGCTCATAATTGTGTTCAGTTGTTCCTCTTAACAAAGATAACCCCTTTTGAATAGCATGCCATGCTTTTCCATAACCAACATCAATTCCATGTGCTCTTTTCATCTCTGAAATGATAAACTTAGGTTTTACCTCAGTAGCTATGTCTCTTAAGTTGTCAATCACGTAATCTCTAATCACATTTGAAGTTGCTTGTCTTTGATCTGATTTTCGAATATCAACTGAGCACTCATGTGTTCTCTGAAATTTAACTATTTTAAAAAGTGTTGATTCCTTAATTCTTGAACCTCGAACAGTCCAAGTACACTTTTCATCAGTACATACCAAAGAGTATCTCGTGTTACTTGACCTGTTAACATAGAACTCAAAATGCTCCTTTATAGC